CTGCCAAGGCGGGTCTCGAGCCCGCGGGCTCAGGCAATCCACTCACCTCAGCCTCCCAAAGGCGCAGGATTACAGGCTGAGCCACCAAGCTCGGCTGTGAAATTCTTATCTGTCATGCTTTCCTACCCAGAGCTGACAAGCTTTGGTCACAAGGCACCCCTAGTCCTGCTGGAGAAGGAGAGATGCCAGGCTTTCTCAGCCACAGCCACACCTCTGGCCCCAGAGAAAAGAAAGGTCAGGGAGGAACTCAGAAGCTGAGGGTCCGGGTGGGAGGAGATGTTGTTTACTAGGAAAGGGGGAGGGACAGGGAACCCAAGAGACTGTGAAGGGAGGGGGCAGGAAGGGGGCATTGCCTAACCTGGGTGGAGAAAGCCAAAGGCGGTGACGCTTGCCTGAAATGTGGGCACCCCTCCCTGAGGGGAGAAGGTTACCAGGGTGGGAAGCCCTCCACACCCACCTCTAAGAAAGAGGAAGAAGCTTGCAACATTCAGGGGAGGGCAAAGCATTTGTTCATCTGGCACAGGATGGGCAGGGGCTGAGCCAGGCCCCGGCCCCCACCTCCAGCCCTCCGAGGAGTCCAGGCTCCAGGAGCACAGAGGGTCTAGGAGCTCTGTTCCCATCACCTGAAGAACAAGTCCACAGGTACCAGGTGGCAGGCCCCCAGCTCCTCCTACCCCACCCTGGCAGGAAGCAGATACCCTCCAGCTCCAGTGACCCAAGCCCAGAATACAGATCCCTGGCCCTTCAAATGCAGCGAATGTTCCACACAGGCATACCCACCCATTCCTCAGCAACCCTGAACCCCAGAGGCTGGCACAGACTAGAAGACTAGACCAGGATCGGAGTCCCCGGACTCCATTCACCTCAAATTCCTTTTTTTTTTGAGTTGGAGTCTCACTCTGTTGCCCAGACTGGAGTGCAGTGGCATGCTCACAGCCACCACGGCCTTGACCTGCTGGACTCAGGTGATCCTTCCACTTCAGCCTTCCTAGTAGCTGGAACTACAGACACACGCCACTATGCCCAGCTATTTTTTTTTTTTTTTTTTTTTTTT